AATTTTCTTTATTATCATTCGAACCTCTGAAGCTTTATAGTATTTAATATCATATACGTATCTATACTTTTTTTTAATTATTATTATTATTATTATTATTATTATTATTATTATTATTATTATTATTATTATTATTACTATTAACATTGACAATCCTATTTTTAATTTTATATTTGTGCCAGGTTTTTATTTAAAGTACCTTATACCTTAAAAAAAAAGGTATTAAATTAAATCGAGAAAAAAAAAATTGACTGAACGAATTTATTTACTATTTTAATTATTATTATTATTATTATTTAACAAATCGCCGTAAGATAACAAATAATTTATTTATTTATTTATTTATTTATATTTATATATAAAATAACGTTTAATCAGAAATCGCGTAAGCCGCGTTTTGAATCCCGAAAAAAAAAAAAAAAATGGAGAAATATTACCGCCAAACAACAATTGAATCCCGTTTTAAAAAAATTTACAAAAAAACAAAAACAAAATGTCGGTGGTTATTTTAAAATGACGTAACGATTAAGTAATTTTTAAGTAATTTTTAAGTAATGTTTACGAAACCGTATTTATGAATGAATGATTGAATGAATGAATGGAATTAGTGGATGAGAGAAAAACGTGACAGAGTTTTTCCTTCCGACTCTAGTTATTTTTTTATTACTTAAAATTTTTTTGTTTGTTTGTTTGTTTGTTACGAAACTTTAATCGTTTGTTGTTGTCGTTGTTGGTTGTTTTAAAAAAAAAAAAAAAAATGGTTTAATAACAACGACGACGACAACAACAACAACAACAAAATTAAAGAGAAAAGTTAAACTTGGAAACGTAAACCGCGTATTTATTTGTATTTACGCTCCCCACCCCACATCCCCCATCCCCCCGAAAAAAAGAAAGGGTGAAAGGGTTAAAGGGTTTTTTTTAAAATCCTTTTTTTTTTAAAAAAAAAAAAAAAAAACAAAAAAACAAAAAAACAAATATCGAAGCCATACATTGAAAGAAAGAAAGAAAGAAAAAAATTAATGTAAATAATTATTAAGGTACATTATTGAGAGTTCCTTATTATTATCATTATCATTTAAGGAAATAAAATTTTTTTCTTATTTTTTTTCTAATGCGTTAAAGTTTGGTTAGTAAAAAAAAAAAAAAAAGAAAAAAAAGTTTTGTTGAATTATTAACGACTGATATAAATTTAAATTTAAATTATATATTATATTATACGTGACGTCATATTATTATTATTATTATTATTATTATTATTATTATTATTATTATTATTATTATTATTATTACTATTTGAATAAAATCCACGTTTTTGTCTTCCCAAAAAATTGCGTAAATTTTCTTTTTTTTTTTTTTTAAATCGAATCCCGTTGTTTAATTAATTATGGGGAATCCCCTGCGTGCGTGGAGGGGAGGGGGGAGGGGCAAAACGTCACGTACAAAAAAAAAGACGAATTATAAACAATTTCATTAATGATAATCGATAATCGATAATCGTAATTTTGTTTTTTTAAATATCGACATCGATAAAAATCGAACGAGTAAAAAAAAAAAAAAAAAAAAAAAAAGTTTAAATTTAATTAAAGCGCATTTTTTTTCGGTATCACGTTAATAAATTAATAAATAAATAACCGTTAATATTATTATTATTATTATTAAAATAAATTTCAAGTTTAAGGAACTTGACAATCGAATTCTAAATTTTCTTTTTTTTTTTTTTTTTTTTTTTTTTAAAAAAAATTCCAAAGCGCGAAAAAAAAATTTTTTTTTTTTCATCGACATATCATGAACGTATTAGGACCAGATAATGATAAACTCGTGCTTTAATTACAGGTTTCCCCCTTCCCCCCCTCTATAATAATCGCGTGCGGTGAATACGAGTGTACACGTGTGTGAGTGTGCGCGTGCACGTGCAACTAGTATATAACCCGATGTTGAACGATTCGACACGTGTGTGTGTGTGCGTGCGTGCGTGTCACGTTTTAATTATTTTTAAATATTTTACCGCTTTTTTTTTTTTAAATTGTTGTTTGTTAAATTTAAATTTAAATTTAAATTTAATTCTATTAAATTTTACCTGTTGATAATAATAATAATAATAATAATAATACTAGCATTTTTTAATAAAGCACGTAAACCCGTAATAGTATTTAATATTGTGCCAAAATAAAATAAAATAATAATAATAATAAAAAAAAAAAAACCCTGAAATAAAATTATTATTATCATTGTGTAAAAAATAAATAAATAAATAAATAATAATAATAATAATAATCGTTTTGTAAATATGAAAAAATTTATTAAGTAGTAGAGAGAGAGAGAGAGAGAGAGAGAGAGTACTTATTTTTTTTCTTCTTCTTCTTCTCTTAATAGTAATCATATTGTTCTTAATTATTATTATTATTATTATTATTATTGGTTATTCCCACCGGTTAAAAAAAAAAAAGAAAAAGAATTTTAATAAAATATCCTCAGTAAATATTTTTTTTTTTTTAGTATTTAAATTAATTAAAATAAAAATATAAAATTAAAAAAATGGATCTCATAAACATGAGCTTTATATATATATATAAAAAAAACATGAAATGCTTGTTATTATTATTATTAATATTAAATGTAAAATGAATTAATATATATATATATATAAATGTAAATATGGATTCAAATACTAAGAAATAAAGTTTTAAAAAATTTGATATTTTTGAAATTAATATTATTATTATTAATATTATTTATCATGTAAATGAATGAAAATAAATAAATAAATAAATACCTCCTTTTTCAATTGTTCGTTAATATATACATATATATATACATAAATTTATGTGAATAATTGATTATTTATTGATTGATTGATTGATTATTATCCAATTATTTTTTAAGAGATAATTATTATTATTATTTGACTAATTATAACGATTATTATTTTAATTGTACTTTTTATTAATATTATTATTATTATTATTAAAAAAATAATATTATTTTTCGAGTGTGGATATTTTTTATCTTTGTTTTCTTTTTCTTTTTCTTTTTTTTGTTTGGCCCCCCCCCCCCTTTATTTTTGTAATATAAATGTTAAAATAATAAAATTGTTTATATTAACTTGATTTTTTTTTTGTCGCTATTAAATTTAATAATACTAACCTTGTTTTCGAATTAAAAAAAAAAAAAGCGACTAACAAAGCATGCAAAGTCCAACATTTAAAAAAAAAAATAATAATGAAAAAAATATATTTACTCTGATCGTCCATGTGATTTTTACCAACGCTCGAGTGTTGTAAAAGTCTATTGAGCCTTTCGACTTCTTCCAATGTTGTCGCTTTCGAAACGGCTTCTCTAATTTTCCAAAGTTCTTCTTGTGTTGGACCTACAACATAATACAAAAAAAAATTTTGTAAGAAACATAATAGAGTTTTATTTTTATTTTACTAATCGAGAAGAGACAAAATTCATTCGTCGATATTAATTTTTATCAATTAATTTAAATAAATAATAATAATAACTTTTAGCAATACTAATAACATAATAGTAATCATTTACCTGTTTTAGGGGCTGGTAACCCTGCTCCTGGGACAAATGTTTTTGCTTTTGAAATTTCCTTCTGTAATTCTTTGCCCTTTTTACTTTTAAAAAGATTAATCGCTTCTTCTCTTTCCTATTGAAAATAAACCATACATGTGTTTATTTATTAAAAACTAATTTTAAAATTATCATCATTAACCTAATTAAAACTTATAATAATGTTTTTTTAATGAAAATTTATTAACGCGACAAATTTTATCGTAATAATGTGTAAAACAATGTGTACCCTTGACATGCCATATTTTTAAACATTTTAAAATGTCTTTGAGAGATTCTAAAAGCAAACAATATACCTTTTAAATGTGCATTACTTTAATATGAGTTACAGGTAGGGTTAGGTACAGGTATTATTTAGGTAGCATTAGGCTAAAAACTAAAAGCATTAATCTATTTTTATTACCATTTTTGAATATCGCTAATATTTATAGATAAGTAAACAACATTTAGGCGTATCAAGTGAAACATTTATTTAAATTACTAAAATAAAAAAAAAAAAATTACCTTCAATTTAATTTTGTTAAAATCCAAAACCTTAAGTTGTGGTAATTTATATGCAATATATTGCCTATAATGTGATTTACTTTGTACTGGATTATATAATAAACTAAGATAACGTAAGTTGGGCAATTTAGCGAGTACATCAATATCGCTTAATTCTTGTATAAGATTTCCAGTAAGAATTATACTTTCTAAATTTGGCAAACTTTCTTCTAACCCTTCAGCTATCCTACTGAAAATTTAAACAAAAAAGAAACTTTAGTTTTTTTTTTTTTTTAAATTTTAAATAAAATTTTCAAGTTAAAAAAAAACTTATAAATAACCTACACTATTCTATTATTATTTAAAAGAAGGTGTTTCAAACGCTTTAATAGCGGGAATCCGCCTAATTTATGTATGTCGTTGTCTGAAAAATCTATTGTATCAAATTGATCTAATGTGGCGCCTAAATTTTCAATAACTGGAATCTTAAAACCTAAAACAACATTATTTATTTGTAAGATTGAGAAATCAAAAATGTATCTATTAATTTTTATCGTTAATATTAAATGAAAAACAAACCTCTTAAATCTAATTCTCGATCTTTCACGGGATTTGTAAACTGCATACTTCTTTGTATCAAATCGGGAGTAAGTTTTACCATATTTAAAAACTTTTAATTACGGATTGTATTATTGTAAAAAAAAAAAATTAAATAATTATGTTTAAAACTGATAAACACGAGATTTTCGCGTCAAAATGAATAAACGTTTTATAACAATTTCCTTTGAATTATAAACAGTTATGAAAGGAAACTTAACCTTTAATGTCTCGGATGTGAGCCTTTTTTCCCATAATGTTTATGTTTTCTAATGACACTAAATTTTACTATTAAAGTTTCTGTTTAATTTTTTAATTATTTAATTTTTTACAACTTGAAACTTCCTTTATAATTTAATAACATGAACTACTTTAAGGCTTTTGATAAAAAAAAAAAAAAAAAAACTAATAAATCCAGGTTTTGATTTTAAAAAATTTCCTTTTATTTAAATAAACAAAGAAGAACAAATAATAATAATAATTGTTCCTAAAATCATATCTGTAAAATAAAATTATTCTATTATATCATTAAAATCTGAAATTAAAACCTGAAAAAAAAAAAATGATTTATTTTTAATTAATCTTATTTGTTTAAATTATTAATAGTACTAATACTTTACCATTACCTGTAATTTTACCTGTTGCGATAAATTTTTTCTGTTAATTATTTAAATATTATTTGTAATAATAATTATTTTTTAAAACTTACGAGTAACACAGAACCGTAATTTGTTAAAAATTATGACTGTCTTCTGCTTCAAAACTTTTACAGATCTACAAATTAATTATGATGTCAGCTACAATTCCAATTTCATATTTTGTCAAGAAGTTGATTCCTTCATTTATTCATTTTTTTTTTTTTTTTTTTTTTTTTTTTTAAATTCTTGTCAGATAATATTCACTTTCATATACTTCAATTTTTATAAACTTTGATAGCACTAATTTCAACATTTACTCAGGTTCATAGGGATTTTAAGTTAGTCCCTTAACACATAAGAGCTAGTCACTTAACCCCAAAAAAAAAAAAAAATAAAAAATAAAATGAAAAAAAAAAAAAGAAAAAAAAAAAACTAAAAAAAGGCACTATGGTTAAATATAATGAATGTTAAAAGCACTTTTCACAAAAAAAAAAATTAAAAAAAAAACAGGTGGTGCAGTCACAGGTTAAGGCAAACACACTTGTAACTGTAAAACCTACACTATACTCATAATAATAATAATAATAAAAAAAGCCTTTCGAATTCAATTATCACATAATTAATAAATGCAATTAAACATGCACTGATTTTTTTTTTTTTTTTAAAATTTATATATGCATATGTTTATTTAGGGATTTTTTTTTTTTTAATTAAGCTTAAATACTTTTAAAAATAATAAAAGGCCAGAAATCTTAAAAAAAAAAAAAAAAAACTGCTATGCATCCTGTATGAAGGATTGAATAAATAAAACATCCTACAAGTGAAAGAATTTATTTCACAACACACTGAATATACACTATCACTTAACACTAGGTACACTAACATATAGTGTCGCATCATTAACTTTAAAAAAATTCAAACCACATTGAAAAGTTTGAAAAAAATTAAAGCTTATTGACTAAAGATATTCACCAAAAAGAATTAATAATAATAATAATAATAATAATCAATTTGTTCAAATTATTCATAACCATTTAAAAAAAAAAAAAAAAAAAAAAACCCCCCCTCACATTTCACTAAGGTCACATTTTTAAGAGAAAAAAAAAAAAAAAAAAAAAAGTTACAATTTTTTAAAAAAACCCATCACCCTCTTTATCATTATTGAATATCATTAA